GTAATGTTGTAGCAGAAAACTGAATGAACTTAGGGAGCTGTAGCCACAGCACACCCAGGGGATGAGCACTCTGTACAGAGACAACTGCAGGAGCGAAAGCCCTGGGGTGGGGAGGGTTAGGCTCAGCAAGGAGCCCAGCATGGCAGGAGCTGTTGTCCCTCACTTCAGCAGAGAAAGCAGGAAATGAGGCCAGAGCAGAACCTGTACTTAAAGACTCTGGTAGATTTTCTAAGTGTGATGAGAAATCTTTGGAGAGCTTTGAGCAAGGGAGTGATGGTATCCAGTTTTTGCCACAGGCCACCCAAAAATACTTCACTGTTACTTTTATATTTTGCCTTCATTTTTTTTTTAAAGTCTATCTGAAATTCATTGTAAATCCAAGTGTTTTATTGCACCCCAAATCATTAACTAATTTCTCTACGAGTTGAAGTAGCATTTTTAAATATTCTTATGTCTCTCACAGGTTTTCTTTATATGTTTTGATGTAGCATTTTTTTAAGATTCTTAATGTCTCTCACAGGTTTTCTTTATGTTTTGATGTATTGACTATCTAACAAAGAATTGTTCCTTTGTACGATCTGGTGATTATAGTTAATAACAATATTTTGTATACTTGAAAATTGATGAGAGTAGATTTTAAAGTATTCTTACCACACCCACAAAAAAGGATGGGAGGTCATGCATATATTAAGTAGCCCCATTTAGTCATCCCACAGTGTGTGCCTATTTCAGAACAACATGTTGTATATCATGAATATAGTCAATTTTGTTCAATTAAAAATAAATTTTAAAAATTGCTTTCATTTTCATCATAGATTATACTTTTTCATTGTAAAATGAACTATATAATCTACCTTAATGCACTATTTCCCTATATCATTGTATCTGACATGTATATGGTAAAGTGAGAAACAAAAGTAGGTAAAATTCCAGGGTGATATAAAACAAAACATTAAAACATTTTCATCTTGGAGAAATGAGATCCCAATTCTTTTTTCCTTTTATATGACTTAAAACAAATTTTTGACCGCTCTATTGATTCTCTAATGATTTGTCTAAATATTTTAAGAAAGCAACCAAGGTTAGAAGCTGTTATCCACATACCCCCTCGGCTGCCTCATTTTCTCTAGGCCGTATCCTAGGTCCTTTTAATAAGTTCTAAGGCAAGTCCAGGTGTGTTAAAGTTAACACGCACACAGGACAGTGATGCCTTGAATGGAATAGCTGGTCAGAGTGGAGATTCTCTTCTCTAGCTTCACTGGAGGCTTTGAGACCTGTCCATCTTGAGCACTATATTCATCTGCAGGATCCAATAGAGGTCCCCCATATTGACATGAGGAAGAGGAAGAGAAAGATACGCCCCTTCTCTGTCCTAGCTCTAGATGGTGCAAACCAGTTCCACCCACAGCGCATCAGATGCCACCTAGACAGGTGGCCAAATCATAGGCAAGAGACTCTGAGATGGACACTCTTCAGGTGGGTGGCCATGTATTCAGTGAGAAGCCCACTGCTGTGGAATGGAAGGACAACCTTAGGGGGTGGCTGTTAATGTTTCCTAGAGGCTTGAGTAGGCCAGAGTATTTCCCAAATCCTGTCTTAACTGCGGAAACCACCTGGAAAAGGAGTGCAGGAAACAGAGAGAAGAGAGGAGAGCCATGTGAGAATGAGTCAACACTATTGCCACCTCTTTTGCTCCATGGGACCCTTTTCTGAGATCCTTAAGACCTTCCATGGAATCTCTATGCCCATGGGTTTCCTGGGAGCCTCTGCTTTGTCTCGGCCCATCTCAGCCTCATCTCCAGTGGAGGCCAGGAACCAGCGAACAGCTCCCAGGGAGAAGAATTGCCAATAATTACCAGTTCCTACATCTCTGTAACTATTAATGATCAGGATAATAACAATACAAATAAAGTTTTTGAGCTCTGCCTGTTTCAATCTAATAATTTAGGATTTTTATTTCTACCTCTTTTTCTTCTATTTTCTGTTTGCTACTATAATCTAGAATTATAAAGGAAAAGTTTTAAATATATATATTTTCTTTTCATTATGTATGATCTTATTTTAAAAATTCTGTTGCTTCTATTTTGTCTTGTGATCATTTTATAAAAATTATTTATATTTAAGTCACTATATATATCTGATGAATTTAAATGTGCCTCGAATCCTTTTAGACCACAATTTTCTCATTTAATATTTTTTATTTCCAGTTACTTGGAAAACATTTTTTTTAGTACATTTTGTTAAAGAATGATAGAGGTAAGTTACCTTTACATTTATGAGAGGGTTTTTCATTGTTATTTTTGCATATGAATAATAACTTATCTGTGCACAAAATTACTGGATCACAGTAGTTTTCCGTTCTAATTGCTTGTCCATCTAGCCTTGTGGTTTTTCCATGCTACCCTCAGCCCTGTAAGGCCACAGTGAATTATTCAGGATGGTGATGTAGCTGGCTTATTAAAGAAGCTGGAAACCTAGTTGTTCCAGTGCGATTCCTCTGGAAGACCTCTGCTTTCCTCCAGCATCTACTCTAACACACACACACACACACACACACACACAGAGTACACATGCTATTCACCCTTTGCATGTAGCTCTAACTTCTTTGGGCTACTTTTTATCTCCGCATCCAGGGCAAACACCACAAATTGTCTACCCAGTTTACAACAGCGGTCTCCCTTTTCCCTTCAGAGCAGAGATTATTGGGGGCAGCATTGAACCAGCTGAAATTTACTTCATTTCCCAGACTCTATCTAATTCCATTGGGAGCTGCACGTGGAGTCAGATCTCTCTCTTCCAGCCTATCATCTAGGGGCAAAATGGCATCCCAGGGACTTTAGAGCTCTGACCCCCACCCCAGTCTGCACTGATGGGGAGAATAAACTGCAGAGTTCTTTGTGTCCCTGAAGACACACTTCCCTCTTTCTTTCCAACACTCAGTCTCATCACTTTATTTTCCTTAAGCCTTCTGTGGCTGATTTCATTAAAGACTTTCTCCCAGTCTCTACTTTTCTGCTCTCTAATTTCTACATGCTGTGTATTTAGCCCCTCCAGCTTTCTATTTCTATGCCTGAAGTCTTCCTATTGCTCCCAAATCCTTGTGCTTTCTGGAATTCACAGTCAGGTGCTACAATTGCCTGTATCGAATCCTCTTTTCTGACGTTCCCTGTGCCATCTTGTTCTTGGACCTTCCCTGGGGACCCAACTTCCCCTGTGGCCTGTCTCAAGTGGTGGCTGTTTTCTCTGTCAAACCACTTGTACTCAAAGTTGGGAAAATGCCCTCTTTCCTTCCCACTGCTGCTTCCAGAACTTCCTCCACCATTCTTCCCCAACTGCCTCAGTATTTACTCAGATGATATCAGACGACACCCCACCTTCTCTCCTTGTGTGACTCAGAATCACGGGTCTCTCTTTCTCCCTCGTTCCTTAAGGATTTTAACCATGCCGTTAGCAATAACTGCTTGCTTCATAATGTCTATTTCAAACATCCCAATCTCTGACCACCATCTCCAAATTTCCAGGTCACCCTCTTTAGTACCCTAATGCCAGTCACACTTTGTCACACCAAGGTACAATCTTGTGATTATTCTACCTTTTCATGCCCCTCACTACTACTTTATTCTCACTTTTTAAAAAATTCCATGGACAATGATCATAGTTTCCTGGCATATACCCTCAAGAGAGCATCCCTGGCTTCTCTCAGTCACACTCATTTGGATAAATCACACTCTCATGAATCTATTTCTTCTTTTACACTGAATAGCTATCCCGATGACTGCATACAATTGGAGTAAAACAGGCATTAAATGACTTCACTTCAAATTCATGACACTAACTTCAAGTTAATGCTTCTTCAATATTGTATTACACACCCCTGTCCCATCCAACCTCCTCCTTTTCTACATTATTTAGTACTTCTTTCTCTTAAGCCTCCAGTGTCTCCTCACTACCTTCACTCTCAGCCTGTGCTGTGGTTCTTATTTCACTGAGAAATAAAGGCAATAAGAAGAGGGCTTCCAAATGCTCCATCACCAAGGGAAAGCCCACCTTCCACGTGAAGTGCCCATTTCACCAGGCTCTGTCCTGTTGTGACAGCTACAGCTGTCCCTGAATCTGGCGAAAGCCAGCCCCTAGGTTCCATCCCCTCTTGTCTACTTTCCCATGTCTTGTAAAATTCTCCCTGTTTCTAGGATCACATTCATCAGTGTCCAAGACTGTTATTTTCCTCCATCTTAAAAAAAATCTCTCTTGACCCCACCCCATTCTAGTTTCTGCCTCATTTTTCTGTTTTCTCATATAGCAAAGCTCCTAGAAAGAGCTGTCCAAACTTCCTGTCTCTAAATCTTCTTCTGTTATCTCCTGAATCTACTCCAAATCGGCTTTCACCTACATCACATCACAAAAGTCACCAAGTCACCGTTGTCCCTTCAATGCATTCAACAGTTGATCTCCCTCATCAACTTGACTTTCCTCCTTCGTTTCCAGGACTCTGTATGCTCCTAGCGGGCCTCCTCCCTCACCAGCAAACCTATCTCTGCCTCCTGTAGGTTTCTGTGCCTGCCGATGTTGAATGTCCTCCGGCTAACTCTGTGCACACGGTCCTGGTCATTTTTTCAAATAAATTCTTAAAAGTACTTTTTATGAGTCAATGGATTTTCACTTCTAAATGCAAATCTAATTCCTGCACAATTTGGAAAACATAGGAAAAGTACAAAGAAATAAGGCAAAAAATATTTGAGAATCTCATCTCCACCTATTACTGACATTTTGTTCTTCCTTTTCTGTCTTCTCTATATGTACATATCTACTCACGTGTTATGCTGTATAAATCCACATATGTATACATATAATAAACATGTATCATTCTCTATGTGTGTATATATATTATAGATAGATAAATATAGATTCATATATTTTCCATGATATGTTTTGCTATTACAGTAAATTTGTATGATACAATTACCACATGTATAAATATATGCAAATATGCTTTTTTGCAGACAATCAATTAATTAGCTGTAGAAACCACGTTTTGGAGTTTAGGGAAACTATGCTGCATTTAAAAAACAAAACTGAAAACAACCGTCAGGAGCTGATAAAAGCCTTGAATCAGATGAAGTATGAAATTACACTGAGAGACAATGAATCCAGAAGCTTAGGTTTGTGTTGCTTTTCTTTCTGTGTATGATGATTTGTTGGTTTTAGGTTTTGTTTTTTGGAGATTTTGATTTAAAGCCTTCTGATTTTAGGGCATTTTGCCTTGATTAAACACAATGAACTGGTAAGCATTCTTTTATTGTGGGACATACAGAAATCAGGTAAGAGATTATCACAGATTCGCTCTCTCATCTCTACCTTGACGATGCTGTTCCTGTTTTCTGTCTCTGAATTGTGCCATCCTGGATCCACCCCACAGATGCAGCCGTAGACCTGGGCATCACCTGTGAGCCCACCTGCTCTCTCTTGCACACTCCCAGTCAGGCAGCACACAGTTCTCTTGATTCCTCATCCTGCGCATCTCACAAGTATGCCCGCATTTTCCCCCCCCGCCCTCTCCACTACACCAGTCAGCTCCTTCACGCCTCACCTGAATCACCCATACTCCTGATTTTTCTCTCTTCTCTTCAGTCTTGTTCCTACCTATTTATATTGACTTTAACCAAAGTGCAGATGACACCTTCAGTGGCTTCCCATCTCTGCAAGATAAAAATCCCTGTCCTGTGCTTCCCCTGGATAGTCAAGCCTTCCTCGAATTCTCAACCCCTGGCACTAGTAATCAGTTCTCTGTTCCTATACTGTCTTTTCCAAGATGCCATACAAATGAACTCACGCAGTGGGGAGGCTTTCACTTAGCACACATGCATCCAATTGTTTTGAGACCAATCATTAATTATTATTATTTTTTTTAACTTCTGGGTGGCATTCCATTGTGTGTATTTACAATGGAAACAGATTGTTTATCCTTTCACCAATTGAGGGTGTTCTGAGTTTTCAGCTATTACAAATAACTGTTGCTGTAGATTCACATACATTTTTTATGAAGATAACTTTTCATTTTTTTAGGATTATTACCTAAAAGTCAGGCTGATGGAGCATATGGCAAGTGCATGCTTTACTTTGTAAGAAACTGCCAGACTTGCCAGAGCAATGGCACATGCCTATACTCCTGGCGACTCAGGAGGTGGGAGCAGGAGAATCACAAGTTCAACGGCAGCCTAAGCAACTTAGTGAGACCCTGTCTCAAAATTAAAAATGAGAAGTGTTGGGGATGTGGCATAGTGGTTAAGCACCTCTGGGTTCAATCCCTGGAAACAAAAAGAAAAGAAACTGCCAGATTTTTCCATAGTGCATGTGCCATTCTGAATTCTCTACAGCAACGTATGAGAGTTCAGTCACTCCAGTTTATTACAGCCCTGCTAGGGTTAGAAGATCTGAGTTTTAAGTTCTATTTCCTCAGTAGCTAATGACGTTGAACATTTTTCCATGTACTTATTTTTTTTTTTTGCCATTCATCTTCTTTGAAGAAATATCTTTTCAAATCCTTTTGCCCATTTTTTTAAATTGACTAGTTTGTTTTCTCACTGAGCTTTGAGAATTCTGTATATTAGACGGATATATGTCAGATGAATATGTGAATTGGAAATTTTTTCTTCCAGTCTGTGGTATGTCTTTTCATTTTCTTTATTATGTTCTTCAGAGGGCAAATATTTGATGAAGACTAATATATTAATTTTTGATGAAGACTAATTATCATTTTTTCTATTGTGTACTGTTTTATTTGTTTAGTTATTTATTTGTTCTGCGTTGTATCTAAGACCTCTTTATATAGCTCAGGGTCATGAATATTTTGTTTTTAAAATTTTCATATTTTTTATGTTTTACATTCATATTTTTTACTTTTTTAAAAAAATTATTTATTTATTTGTTTGTGGTGCTGAGAATTGAACCCAGTGCCTCACATATGATAGGCAAGCCATCTACCACTGAGCCACAATCAAAGTCCCTGTATTTTACTTTTTTAAAAAATATTTTTTAGTTGTAAATGGATCTTTTTTATTTTATTCATTTATTTATATATGGTCCTGAGGATTGAACCCAGGGCCTCACACATGCCAGGCAAGTGCTTTACCACTGAGCCACAACTCCAGCCCTGTTTTTTACTTTTTCTAAAGATAATTTTTAGAAGTGATATTTGTACAGACAAAGGTTCGATATTTTTTTTCCCCACATGGATGCCCAAGTGTTCTAGCATGTTTTTGTTAACTGTATTTTTTGCATTGATTGCTTTTGCACTTTGAATTTGAATTACCAGAAGTCAGCATATTGTCTGGCAGAAAAAAATAACTCCATAAATGTTAGTGACTTGAATTCCAAAATCAATCAACCAGAACTGGAGACAGAGCTCAGTTGTAGAGCACTTGCCTGGCAGGCAATCCTTAGCACTGCAAAAACAAAACAAAACAAACAAACAAAACAGAAGAAAAAAAATTTCACCTATATATATATGAATCTGTACTCTGTTCCACTAGTCTACATATCTATTTTTATATAATACCATACTGCTTTGATTTCTGCATTATGTATATCAGTTAAAATTGGATTGTGTGAGGTCTCCAAGGTATTTTTTTTTTTCAGAATTACAGAAGAAAATTCTAATGAATAGTACAAATTGGGTCATTAAGGGATTATATAAAACAAATTATAAAGATACAAACTTTACAAAATGATATGAATCAAAGTAACAGAGGAAATCATTTGTAATAGGTTTTAGTTTTATTTCCTTGATTTGGAAATGACAGTTGTATGGGCCTCTGGTGTAGCTCATTGTGCTAGGCTTAAATTAAACATTGCTTTAAAAATAAATATTAGTCACTAATATTAGAGCTATACATTATAGTATTTTGATTTTGATAATTCTCATTTAAGAGTATATTTCTCCTGAATACTAAATTAATCTGGATTCATTTACTAATTCCCTTTTTAAAAATGTATCATGGGGGGAAATATCCCTGTGGCTATTAACTCAGAAGCACTATTTTTCTTCTCTTAGATGAGAAAATGGTTACCCCGAGTGAGAACGAAACAGCATCTAATAGATTTGAAGCCTTGAAGTTCTTTTTTCCACATCTAAGGAAAGTTGCCAGGGTCTATCCTGATGTAATCATTGGCAAAGGGAAAAGAGATGGTAAGAAAACTTGAAATTGAAAAATTAAATGTAAATATTTTGATGTTTGGGGATATATGTTTAAGTTTGAAAGTATAATTCATTACGATCATACTCAAATTGATTTGTAGGCCACCAGTCTATCTGACAGTAACTTGAACTACCAGCATATTGTCTGACAAATAATTCCATAAATGTTTAGTGATTTGAATTTAAATTCAGTATTAATACAGAAGCTTTGAAAGTAAGTCAATATGAATCAAATATACATAAAACCTCTGCTAAGTGCTTGACAAATCTGTTCTCCCTGGTTTTGATAAAAGTTTTTCTTAGCTGGTTATCTTCCTATTTCCCTACCTTTCTTGGGGTCAGAAAAAGCTTTACCGAAGGGGTGATGTTTGAGTTCAGTCTTGAAGACTGAGTTCAAATTCACCAGGTATACATAATAAGAGAAAACTGGAGGTTGAAGCTGAAATATTTGGCCAACTCTCTGAATGCCTGACATCTCACAAATCTCATTCATTTCAGAGAGTGAGTGACTTTACATATAGTGAGTGATTTTACATGTAGGTTCATAGGAACATAACCATTTTCATTCATTAACTTATTATCTATGTCTGTTTCTGTACAAGATTAGCATGATGGTATTTGTGACAGTGTGTTAGTGTTCATTTACTGTAACAAAACACCTGAGATAATCAAAAAGAGGAAGGTTTTGTTTTGGCTTGCAGTCCAGAGTCTTGTGTCCTATTCTGTTAGGGTCTGTGATGAGGCAGCACATCACGGACAAGAACACATGGTGGAACAAACTTCTCACCTCATGGCAGCCAGGAATCAAAGAGGGAGACAGCAAGGGATGGGAGTCTAATATCCTGTTCAAGAGCACACCCCCGTGACTGCAAAGCCTCCTGCTAGGCTCTACCTCTTAAAGGTTCTATCACCTCCCAAGACCACCAGGGGCAGAGAATTAAGCCTGTAACACCTGAGTCTTGGGACATGGCTTGACCCAAGAGTCTAATATGTTGAGTGACTCTTCACAGAACAGATTTGCCAACCCTTTTGCTCTAGACAGCTCCTTGAGATCAGGCCGGCTCTGTGTCACATGCCTCTGACATGTGATCCAAGCCTCTGTGTTAGGATTAGGATGCCACGTGGTGTTGTTCAACATCTGATGGGTTCCTTCTGTGTCCCCCATGCTAAGTTCTGTGCTTTCTCTCATTATGCCACTGAATCTGTACTGTCCAATGCAGTCATCCAGATGATTATTGCCGTCTTCCTTTTCATACCTGAGAAAGATGAAGTTTAGAGAGATTAAAGAGCTTTTTGAGTTCATACTTATCAAACTCTTTAACTTCAATCTGGGAATATTTTGAATATAGCATTCAAAATGTACCTAGGAGCACGGGAGGTATAGCTTAGTGGCTGAGGGATTTCCAGCATGGGTGAGGCCCTGGATTTGGTCCCCAGCAATAACAAAACAAATCAAAATAACACAAAAACACAAAATTGTTTTTTCCCTCTAAGGCTTGGGAAGCCTTTCCCCAAAATACATAGATGGTAGACCCCTCCGCTTCATTCCTGCCTCACAGCGTCCGTGAAAATCAACTGTAGCTGAATCATATTTCCAAATCTGAAAGGCAAACAATAAGTCATCTAGAAGATAACTCAGGAGAATGTCTTCATGACTTGAAGATAAGCAAAGGTTTCTAAATAAGAGCCCCAAAGTGTGAACTATGAAGAAAATCATTGCTACATTGTACTTCATAAAAATGAAGAATTTCTCTCCATCAAGAGGCAAAACATTGAAAAGGGACTCCAGAGTGTAAGATGATATTTATAACACACATAACTGACAAAAGAGTCATATTCAGAATCTGTAAAGAGCGTCCATCTGTCAATTTTTAAAATGCAGATACCTCAGTAGAGAAATGGGTAAGGGCTTAAACAGGGATTTCTCAGAACAGGAATCTAAAGGCCAACAAACATATGAAAACGTGTCCAGACTCAAAAGTAATCAGTGGAGCTGGGCAGGCAGCACATGCCTGTAAGGCTGAGGCAGGAGGACTGAGAGTTCAAAGCCAGATGCAGCAAAAGTGAGGTGCTGAGCAACTCAGTGAGACCCTGTCTCTAAATAAAATACAAAATAGGAATAGGGATGTGGCTCAGTGGCCAAGTGCCCTTGAGTTCAATCCCTGGTACAAAAAAATAAAAAAAAGTAATCAGTGAAATAATGACTCCTCCTGTTGTTACCAAAGTTAGTTTTTCTTAACTAAACATTTCTCAGTTTGTTATCTGCCAGAATCCGGAAATGATTGTTTTCACTATTTTTTTTTTTCAGTTTTATCTCTGCCTTCTATAAAGAGGATCTTCTGAGGGCCTCACCTAGCCATTCCTGAGGGCCTCCTCCACCTTCCAGGTGGGAAAGGGAAGTGGAGAGGCTGCATGTGTGGCCTGCCCTCATGCAGCAGGATACAGGGGCAGCCAGGATGACATGGCCTGTCCCCCAGTGCTGCACTTATTATAGGAAATGGCAGGCACTGAGGACGTGGATTCATTCCATCAAACCATTCAGAAATCACGTCAGACTTTTTTTTTTTCACAGATGAAAATATTTCACGGCACTTTTTTCCTGTTTGGGGGGTTCCAGTGTGTCCCTAGGAAGAAGAGTAGAGAAATCAGCCATTGTGAGTTAGGTGAAAGCTATTAACAAATGGGAAGAGTTTGATTTTATTCTCACTGTATCATAAGACATAAGAACATCAACATAAGAACATCATGGAGTCTCCAACAAAAATTCCTCCAACAGAAAATGAAAAAATGTGATAAAATTAATATAGTCTGAATTAGTTTTGTAATATGGTTTCAAATATTGTAGCTGCAAGACTAACCCAAGCATAGAAATGAGCACAGAATTAATGCTAAATTATGTTTGCTCTGTGGTTTAAGCCTCCTAATCCTTTGTCTGTAGTTACCTTTGCTCTAGGTATTTCCACTGTTAACAGAGGAGCACATAGTTACCTGAAGCAAACTCTGAACTCCATCATGACTAGGATGACACCTTCAGAAGAGAAGGACTCCGTGGTGATTGTCTCTATTGCAGATGTATGTATGAAAAACTCTCGCCATAAAGTCTCCAAGTTGCCTTTCTCAGTTGTAATCATGGTGCCACTTTCTTCCTTTAATCAAAACAAACAAACAAACCAAAACCCAAAAACCAAAAACAAACGTAGATGCCTTTTGGGGATTGCAGCCGATATATTTAATCCTTGCTTGGCACAACTAAGAAGAATTAAATATATAAATCTAAAAAGACAACATAATGGCTTAATGTGAGAGACATAAGGTCACTGAATTTTCATTGCATTTGATATGGGGCCCAGGCATACTATAAGACACAGACATGATATTTACAAACAGAATATTAAAATTGATGCTTCAGTAATTCAATGAAAGGTTGGTATATGGATCCAGAGATAATTTATATTAAGTAACAGTAACTACCATTAATTGAAAGACTCCTTCTACACTGAGGAATTGTGGCCAATTTTTCTAGACATGACTTACAGCCTGCATTACATCAGTGCAAAGTAGATATCGCCATCATGTCTCAGCCTTATAGTGAACTGAGCTTAAAGAAACTAAGTAATTTACCTGGTGATTAATACAGCAGATTTAAATTTTGGTCTCCCCGATGGCTATAAAGACTTCTAATTTGTACCTACTGCCAGCTTAATAATCACTGTACCATTTTGAAAATTTGAGTCAAACCATAAAGTACTGTAGAAATATTAATGCCATAAGACTTTTTGGAGAGAAATTTGACATGATTCATAATTAAAATGTATATATCCTTTGTCTCAGAAATCCAGACTGTGGGAACTTATCCTTAGGAGATAATCAGGCAGGTGTTTAACACAATAAAAATACAGCAAGATCACATGATAGTTGAGGGTGCAGAATCTAGATCTGCATTGCTGAGGTTCCAATGCCTGGCTCCTGAACGTGAACAACTTACTTAACTTCTTTGTGCCTCACTCTCCTTATCTGTAAAATCAAGGTGATAATATTATCTATTTGGTAAGTGTGTTTGGGGACAAGATTAGCTAATATATTTAATGAACCTATACTTAGTGCATGGTACAGACTAAGTGTATCATTGCTTTATAAAAGCATAATATTGACTTATACCACAAATACCTATCATTAACAGGATGATTAAACACTTTGTTATATATTTTTATAATGTGATACTCTGTAGCCAGCCATTGAAAGGAGACTGAAAATCTATACACACAGATACAGAATCATGTCCATATTATATTGCTGAGTTAAAAAAGTTGAAAAACATCACATGAAATTAATGTTATCTATGAAAACGAGAAGGAAGAAGAAAAAGGACATATAGATAGAGCAGATATATATAGAAGAAAAAGAATTGAGCAAACTTTAGAATAATGGTCTCCAAGATATTAATATTAGTTTTATTTGAAAGCTAAGAGAGGAATCTTTGTTATTCTTCCTTTGTTATTCCCTTTGTTGTTTGAATTTCCAATAATAAAGATGTATTTATATGTAGAAAAATAAGAACCTATAAACAAAACAAGCAATAGAAGAATTATTAGGAAAATAGAAGTCAAAGATTAAATAGTCATTCTAGTTTGTTCTAATTTAATTTCTTACTATTGGAAGCATACCATGTCAAGTCAGCCTTCTGTTACTGTGACAAAATACCGAAGACAATGAACTTAAAAGGAGGAAAAGTTTAGGTTGGCTTAGTGTCATAGGTTTCAGTCCATGGAGGCTTGGCCATGTGGCCTTTGGGCCTGTGGTAGCACAGTACTTCATGGTGGGAACACATGGTGGACAAAACTGCTCACCTCAGGATATCCAGGGAGCAGAGAGACAAAAGGGAAGGAGCTCCAACATCTCCTTTAAGAGCACACCCTCTAATGACCTAATTTCCTTTTACTAGACCCATTTTTTTTTTTTTTTTTGGTATCAGGGATTGAACCTAGGGATGCTTAACTAGTGAGCCACATCCCAAGCATCTGCCTTTTTTAAGAAAAAAAAAAAAATTTGAGACAGGATTTTGCTAAGTTGCTTAGGGCCTTGCTAAATTGCTGAGACTGGTCTCCAAATTGTGATCCTCCTGTCCCAGCCTCCTGAGCTGGTGTTATTACAGGCATGCAGCACCACACCTAGCTAGACTTCACCTTTTATAAACCATCTTCCAGTAGCACCACATGGTGGGACCAAGCCTTTGGCATATAAGCCTTTGGGGAACATTTTTAGATGCAAACATAACATATACACAAGGCACATCTGTGTAAAATGTGTAGACTAATAAGATATTGGGGAATTAATTTTAAAGTAGAATGTAGAAGGCTTAAGAAGTATAACTTTGATGCCTGGTTTAAATTATAATGTTGTTTCAGTGCATGACAAATAGTTATTGATTTGATTATGATTATGATAAGAAATTCAAATATTATATCATGTCTGATATTTTCAAACAACCCAGTTACATACTTTCAGAGTTGCCTTTCAGAGTACTCCAGTTTGACAACAGAACTGTCATTCTGTCATCAGAATACTTTCAGAATTTTATATTGGATATGTTTATGGATCCTGAGGTCACATCTTGTAAATGCGAAAATTTTTTCCTTTTTTTTAATCATCTGAGAGGGTAAACCATCAAAAGCTTTTCACAAATGATCTGTCATCTATTCTGATGTTTGAAGGGCAGGTGCACAAAGTTTATTCACAGAAAGAAATTTGAGAATTAAGTAATACTGTCTGGAAAAATGTGTGTGTGTGTGTGTGTGTGTGTGTGTGTGTGTGTGTGGTGCTGGGGATCAAACCCAGGGTCTTATGCATGCAAGACAAGCACTCTACCAACTGAGCTATATCCCCAGTGCAATGTAGGGTAATTTTAAAGCAAGTTTACTGTCAGCTAATACACATAAAATGAAGGGTTTTCCCCAAAGAGAAGTTCTTTGCAATAAGTTGTTCTAAGATTACCACAACATTTTTAAGTATATACATGAGATTTTATTTTGGCAGGCAGTGGGGGAGGGGGATGTTTCCAGGAAATGAACCAAGGGATGCTTAGTTATAGAGCCATACCCTTTTTAATTTTTTTTTTTTTTGAGGCATGGTCTCATTAAGTTTCTTACAGCCTTGCTAAATTCCTGAGGTTGGCTTTGAACTTGTGATCCTCCTGCCTCAACCTCCAAGTTGCTGGTATTACAGACATGGGCCACTGCACCTGGCTCTAGATACATAAAATTGTTATCCTGATTTGTATGTGTAAAAATAGATTATAATATCTTACCATGGCAAAGGAGAAGAATAAAATATTTTCTACATTGAAGTCAAAGCTTTTAAAGAAAATTGTTTATTTTTAGTTCTCTTAAAGAAAGTGTAAAAACCTAGAAATTATCAGGAAATAATAACATTCCACACATAAATTAAATTGACTTGTAGCAAAAATGTTGTATGAGGCCGGATGCAGTGGTGCAGTTCTGTAATCCTAGCAGCTCAGTAGGCTGAGTCAGGAGGATCAAGAGTTCAAAGCCAGCCTCAGCAGCAGCAAGGTACTAGGCAACTCAGTGAGACCCTGTCTGTAAAAAAAATACAAAAATAGGGCTGGGGTTGTGGCTCAGTGGTCGAGTGCCCCTGAGTTCTATCCCTGGTACAAAAAATAAAATAAAATAAAATAAAAAAGTTAATACAACTGAGGCATACTTAAACTTACATTTTTTTCTTACTTTTAGAGTAATGAAGATTATTTAAAGTCTGTTGTTGACATGATTATGAAAAGGTAAGTATTGTCTTATAAATTTTAAATTAGCCAGATTCATTTCTCTATAATACTGTTTTTTTTTTCTGTCTGATTGTATTATTATTTATCACATTCTTTTGAGTGAATGGAATTGTGCATAAAGAATCTGCTATTATTCCTAACCTGGGATAAAGGATAGCTGATGATTTGCTCCAATTTTATAGTTTATTTGCTTACTGGAATTCAATTTTTTTCATGCAATAGTTGTTATGATATTAGCCTTCATGAAATTGGTTGCCCCCAAGAGAAACTAAATTGTGTTCAAAACACTCTTATATTTCTCACGGCATGAAATTACTTCACCTCTTCTGCTTACAATCATTGGAACATACTGATGAATCATTATGATATTATTAAGAAGGACTTTGAGCTGGGCACAGTGGTGCATGCCTGTAATCCCAGGGGCTTAGAAGGCTGAGGCAGGAGGATCCAAAGCCAGTCTCAGCAACTTAGTAAGGCCTTGAGCAATTTAGCAAGACCTTGTTTCAAAATAAAAAAAACTACATAAAAAATACTGGGTATATGGCTCAGTGGTAAAATGCCTGGTACAAAAAAAAAAAAGAATAATTTTGAAACTTCTTGATTATAGATACATACCTGTAATCTCAGAGACTCAGGAGGCTGAGGCAGGAGAATTGTAACTTCGAGGCCAGCCTGAGCAATTTAACAAGACCCTATCTCAAAATAAAAATGAAAAAGGGGCTGGAGATGTAGCTCAGTGGAAGATCACCTCTGGGTTCAATTCCCAGTACCAGTAAAAGAAAAAAAAAACAAAGGAAGGACTTTGGTAGGAATTGTATTGTTACGAATTAACATGACACCCGTGGATGTTGAACACTTTTTCAAGAAGGTAGTCATTGAGCTGATTGAGCATATTGAGATCACGCATATAAAACTTTGTCCTACTTTATTTAAATTTTCAGGAAGTAAAACACAAACATTTTCTTGAAACTTTAACATATTAATAAAAACTAATGCCTAAATTTAAATCCTATTTAAAAGCATATTATCTGTCTCTAACAGAAGACCATTTAAAATGTTCTATCTGGTCTTCTATCCTTTCTCTCCATGGTTAAAGCTTCAGTGAGAAGGAGTTTATGTATTTTAGTGATGTCCTTATTAGTCTATCAATATTAACTTTTAAATGTAATCATAGTTTTCCAAGGAGTTATGGACAAGAGTGAGACTTAACCCTCCCGTGCTGTGGTAGTCTGGTTCCAGGGGTCACATTGCTATTCAGTAGGACTCTTACTCATTTCAAAGTTATGCATTTAAAAATGATGTGGTGTTATTGCTTAGTTGAAACTACTTTATTATCATAAGATATTAGTTCCCTTGTCAAGTGTGTGAGGACTTCTCTGATCATAACCTAAAAATTTCAAAGTTCTTGTAATTTTTATGAGGAAATGAATTTTATATCATATATCTTAATGTTTCAATCTGTCATGAACTTATAAAATGAATACTTTCAGTAGTGGTTACATGATGTGGTAACATATATCAATAAGTAAAATAATTCAAAAGAAAATATTACATAGCTATGTATAAAGAAGTTATATCAAAGTATTTATGTTATTTTGGTCAATTCAGTATATATTCAATTATAAGCCACCATTTACTTACATTTACAGATTCAGAAGGCAAGTGAAATCTGGATCCCTAGAGGTCATTTCAGTACCAGCCTTTTTATACCCAGATAGGTTACATACCCAGCGGCCAACTGTCTCAGAGCGTAAGAGGTATGATACATACACGTTGTCCATCTTTTCAGATTTGAATATGAGATCCCAAAGGGCGAGAATGGAATTGCAAATCGTTCTTCATATCAGTATCTAGTTTAGTGTCAAATTACCGTAAGGTTTTTTTTTTTTTTAAGAGAGAGAGAGAGAGAGAGAGAGAGAGAGAATTTTTAAAATAATTTAATTATTTTTCATTTTTTGGTGGACACAACATCTTTATTTTATTTTTATGCGGTGCTGAGGATGGAACCCAGCACCCTGCGCATGCCAGGAGAGCGCGTTACCCCTTGAGCCACATCCCCATCCCCTGTAAAGATATTTTTTTATAATTTCCTATAAATGAGGCATATCAGAAAGAATATTAATTTTATTACATAGATCAAAATGTAACAAAATGAAATAATTACATAGGTAATGTTTAGCCTAGTTTAGCAATGGCAGGTACTTCCCATTGAATAAAGATGGGAGGTTTCTAGTGTAAGTTTTAGTATGAACTTGTCCACTTTTATTTAATATTGCTACTGTGCAGTGAGTAAACTGTAAAAAAAAATGTTTTGGATTACTGAAACACGTTTTTGAATTAAATAATAATGACAAACATTAACAGATTTTATTGCTTATCTTTAGTTGGCACATGAAACAAGTATTGGATTTTTGTATATTGATGCTGTATGCCCAATCCAAGGCCATGTATTATTTACAGGTGAGAACTTGGTATATATGTAATTGAAAATACTATTTTCTCCTTCCTTCTTTTAAATCCTTTCTTCCTGTTATGGTTTGGATATGAGGTGTCCCCCAAAAGCTCATGTATGAGACAATGCAAGAAGGTTCAGAGAAGAAATGATTGAGTTATAAGAGTCTTAACCCAATCAGTGAATCAGTCCCCTTATGGGATTAACTGGGTGGTAACTGAAGTGGTAGGGTGTGGCTGGAGGAGGTGGGAATTGGGGCATGGTGTTGGGGTATATATCTGGCCAGTGGAGACCTCTTTCTCTGTTTCCTTGATGTGAGCTGCTTTCCTCCACCACACTCTTCCACCATGAAGTTCAGCCTCACCTTGAGCCCTGAGGAATGGAGCTAGCCTTCTATGGACTAAGACCTCTGAAATTATGAGCCCTCAAATAAACTCTTCCTCCTCTACAGTTGTGCTGGTCAGGTCATTTAGTCACAACAGTAAAAAAGCTAACTAAACATTTCCTCAATTGTGTTCCTCCACCTTAGTTTGTACCCAGAAAATAGAATATATCATTATATCCAAATGCCAAGATGAAGCTTGAATTGTTTCTATATTAACATTCTTGCAGGGTTCACTGTAACAGAGGAAATTAGAGTTACCTGAATGAAACTAAAGAGAAAATATAAAATTGGGGGGAAAAATAGAAATTACTCTGCGTATATTTCTCTGCCCACAATTTTACTATACTCAGCAAATATATGTTGAGCACTTTTTTTAATACGCATGAGATACTCTTTTTTAATATATAACTTTATTTTATTTATGTGATGCTGAGGATTGAATCCAGTACCTCACATGTGCTAGACAAGCACTATACAACTGAGCCACAACCCCAGCCCTGAGCACTTGTGTTATGTCAGACATTGTATACCGCACACTTTGAGAGTTGCACAGTTCTGTAGTTCCTTATTATATTGGTAAAAATCAACATACATCGTGTGTACCCTCTCAGTCCTTGCACATCACTGAATGGTAACGCTATGATTCCCAGTAGAAGTATGTAAACAATATGCACTTGTCAAAATTATTTTCAGAATATCTTTGGAGAGTAGGGCCAGAATATCTTTGGAGAGATACAAGGGCCCAAAACAAAATCTTTTACTGAAAAAAAAATCCCTTTTGATACCCATCTGGTGGCAATGTAATAGAAACATAAGATCAGTCAGTGTTCTCGTTCCAGTCTGAAAAACAACTCTATTTTGTGCCCTGGTTAGTGTGCCTGAGGAGTTCCACGTTTTTCTGAACATTTTGAGGGCAATTTTGGTCTATGGATTGTGTATAGTAAATATTGAGTGAAAAAGAAAACTCTCATTTCCATCTCCACCCCTCTCTTATTTTGTTGGAGGAGGGGACTGAGGATTGAACTTAGGGGTACTGGACTTCGAAGCAATATCCCCAAGCTCTATTTTGTATTTTATTTAGAGACAGGGTCTTTTTTAGTTCCTTAGTGCCTGGACAGGAATGCCCAGTTCCTTTTTGTCACCTCTTTGCCGAGGACAACTTTGTCAGCTGTACTAGTTGGAGACAGAACATGGCACTTATCATCCAAGCATAATGCTAGTTACTCTTTGTTAGGCTCGAATGTGTGTACCTCTGCCCCAAATTACTGTACGGAAACTGTAACCTCCAAAGTGATGATATTAGGAAGTGGTGCCTTTAAAATGTGATTAGATCATAGGGGTGAAGCCCTGGAGATTGCGATTAGTGCCCTTATGACAAAGGCTTCAGAGAGTTGGCTAGTTCCTTCCACCATGTGAAGACACATAGAAGATGCCACGCTTGAAGATACAACCCTCAGCAGACACAAAATCTGCCCTCACCTTGATATTGGCTTCCAAGCCTCAGAACTATAAGAAGAAAGTCAGCCTGTCTATAAGAGTTTTTCTTTTAACAACAGCCCCCCAAACCTAAGACAGTCTTAGCCTAGAAGCTGAAGTATTTGTGGGGATGAAAATGGATTCAGACAGACTCTTTCAAGAAGGTCTTGAATTGAATGTTATAGATTAGAATTTAGGAAAGGAAAAATAAAATAGCCCTGGGTCTGTTTAGTCTCAGAATCAGAGAATGGAAATTGACTAGTTGTGAATATCCTCAGTGAATGGAACTAAAAATTAAATTATTAACCTCATAAAACCCACTTTCAGCGTATTCTACTGTTAGTATTTTCTATCTTCAAGTTAATATAACTTATACAATAGAAGCATTGAAGTAATGCCCTTTTGGTTTTATTTTTTTCCAGCTAGAAGATGATATCATAGCTAGAAAGATGTACTTCACAAAAATGACAGATTTTTTACATAATATCACTTCGAATAATTGGTTTTATATTCAGTTTTCAGTACTTGGATTCATAGGTAAGCAATTGGTTTATTTTGTTGGATCAAGATTTTGTAGCACACAATAGTCTCAAAACTTTTTAACAACTTGTCAAAGAGTTTGTTACCAAATGGAAAGGAATGGCATGATTCCTGTAAAGATATTATTATTTTAATAATAAAGTCATGTTCAAGTACCTGAATTTCAGCATTTCCTAAGCGAAAGTTTTTTTCTAGATATACCCTAAACATGTGCAGATCAACATATATACAGTTATGTATAAAAAAAATTATAAGTGGTTGCTAAGAGTCTGGCATAGTAGCTCTCTGAAAAAGATGTACTTTTCTTTTTTTTCACATAGGAGAATACCGAGGGACCAAAGGTATAGCCCGATGGAAGAGCATGTTTAAGGGCCTGGGTTCAAACCCCCCCACAACCTTTCTCCCCTGAAATTTTGAATATCAAAGAACAGAAGTTCTACAGAAAGGAATTTTATCTCTGCAATTCCCAGTATGATAAAGCCAACATTCTTTAACAATATAGAAATATGATATGAACTATACCCACCTCAGAAAATTTCCTTAAACTGCCCATAATGTGATTGGGGTGGTGTTGGGGATTGAACCCAGGGCCTTGCACACACTAGGCAAGTGCTGTACCACTGGGCTATACCCCTGTTTCCCCCCTAACCTTTTAAAAATTCTGAGACAGGGTCCTGCTAATTTGTCAAGTCTGGCCTTGAACTTGGGATCCTCCTGCTTATGCCTCCTAGGTCACTGGTATTACAGGTGCACGCCACCACATCCAGCTGGGTGATTTTTTTTTTTTAACAATTCTTCCATAGACTTTCTTTTTTCTTCCTTCTGTTCTTTCCACCTTCCGTCTTTCTACCCTTCTGTTCCTTTTGAACCCCAAGGCAGCGAGTTGAATAACAGTATGCATTTCACAGTGCCTGACGTTACTGATTCATACAGGTACCCTCTCTTACTTTCTTTTATCCTTAATCCCTGCTCTCACTTTCCCCCACCCACTACGAGCTTTTCATTCTAACATGTTGAGATGCACTTACAAATCTGCACATATCTATGTAAAATATTTGATGCTTCTCTTGTTTGTACCTGTTGTAAATTTACATAATTAGTAATAACAGAAGCCTATTTCTTTCCCTTACATTTTTCCTCAAAATTAGATTTTCTTTCTTTCTTTCTTCTTTTGGTACTAGGGATTGAACCCAGGGGCGCTTTACCACTGATCCACATTCCCAGCCCTTTTTATTTTTTATCTTGAGACAGCGTCTCACTGAGTTGCTTAGATCCTCACCAAATTGCTGAGGCTGTATTTGAACACGTAATCCTTCTGCCTCAGCCTCCTGAGCTTCTGGGATTACAGGCATACACTGTGCCAGCAAAACTAGATGTTTAAACTCTCAACATGTTGCTTTATGTCCATTCTCTTTATTTACTTATTTATTTTTACTGCTGCATGTATGCTGAGTGTTAGTCCATTTGATTTACCCACTCCCTGAGTGGCAGACCTTGATTGTTATCAATTTTCTACTACCAGAGACAAAAAAAGAAAGGACCTATGTGTCCTGTGGGGAGGAATTGCTAAGGACAAATACAGCTGATTGCTTTGCAGATTGGCTGTAGTTGATGCTCTCATAAGCGCTCTAGAGGTCTTGCTTCTGGGGATCATGTGCTTGTCAACATTTGTCTTTATTTATTTGCCATTGGGAGGACCATAAAGCCTTTCACTGATTGCTAGTAAGGTCAATCTGTTCTTTATATACTTACTTGATCACACTGCTTTCCCCAAAGTTTCCACAACATTTTAAACTTCAGAGGTTTTTTACTCAGCCTTGGCTAAAATAAGAAAAATATCATAGGTAAACATAATAGCTGGTGAGAAGCTTCAAGAGGAAATAATCTCGTTGTATTACTCTGAGAATTTAATATTCTCAAAGAATTTTCTGTGTCAAGAACTTCAAGTACAAGAAGCACAGGGTATTTACATTTTAATCACCACATATAAACTGGACATGACACCAAAGTCTTACTGAGGCTTAACTTTGTGTAGGTTTTGGCCGTGTCGTGATGAAAATTCTGTTATTTAGTATTTACCAAAAACATGAACCTGATAAATAGAATTTTACAGCATGCTATCAGCAGATGGGGAAATGAATTAACTCTTCCTGTTATCGAATCCCTTGCTTTGGCTAATATGTAAATGAGTGCCAAAAGTTAAGATATAGCCATATAATTAAATCACCCATAAAAATCCAAGTTTCAAGGAAAATTGAAACATGCTCGCATCCTATGATCATGCTTATTAATTGGTTAAATGTATTTTGCATGAATAAAGTGACCATTTAACTGAATCTTATTCCTCTTATTTCACTTTAAAATTAAAGATGCAGTATATTAGAAAAAAGTAATTAGACCTGATAAAATCATATTTTAAACATAGTAAATCTTTAAGAATCTTAATATTAAAAAAGTCAAATAATGTGCTCAAATATCAAAATAATACAGTATTTTAATAAAAATTAAGTACTAAAGGTAAGTAGGCAGTAGATGGATAAAATGTTACAAAAGTCAGGTAAAAAAAATCACAGTTGTACAAAGTTCAGTAAGAGATTACAGTTCTTGTACTCTCCACTCCATTTACTTATCTTTCACTTCATTTTGGACAACCAATTTGTACTAGATATCAAAATTGATTTCCTGAGAGTATCAGTGAATCTAAACCAGCTTACCCTCTTTTCTTCAGAACTGGTAACCCTTAATCAATACTTAAGCAGACACAGTATTTTACTTTCTCTTCTTCCAACTTCATTGATGCTTTAAACTTGACTTCTAAAGAATAGGTTATATTTAAGTTTTTATAGTTGCTCTTTTTCTATGTTTAATGGAATGGACAACTATTTATGAATTATTTGTATTTATTTACTTTTACCTATAGGAAAACTGTTTAGAACCGAGGACTTGCCTGGCTTTGTACATTTTTTTCTAATGTTCTACAAAGATAAACCCATAGACTTGCTCTTGGAGACCATATTTCAGGTAAAGATGTGTGATCCAGCAGAAAATTTTGTGAGTATTTCTTTACTTTATAAATACCAATTATTTTAAGAAAACACTGTCTTATGTAATTACCTAAAATTTGTTTACCAACCCAAATCAATTTTTTAAACTTGATACTCTCTCTTAATGTTTTTACCAATATTTTTGCACAATTAATGAAGTACTTATAAACCAAAAATGCTGTGAAAAGTGGAAACAGAGCCAAAGATAGAATGAGCAAATGGGGAAAAAAATGGTAGACATAAATGCAAACATTCCAGTATTTACATTAAATATAAATGGACAAAATATGCCAATTAGGAGATCATCATAATAGAACTTTTTAAATGACACAACAGTCAATGTCTATACTCAGTTCAAATGTAAGGTATAGATTGAAAGTCATACATGGAAGTTGGACATTGTGGTGCATGCTGTAAGCCCAGTGACACTGGAGGCTAAGGAAGGAGGATGACAAGTTCAAAGCCAACCTCAGCGACTTAGCAAGGCCCTAAGTAAATTAGTGAGAGCTGTCTCAAAAAAAAAAAAAGTAACACATGAAAAAATATATATGATGCAAATCAAAGGAAATTTGTAAGAGTAACTACATTAATACAAAAGTGGACTTCAGACCAACAAAAAACAAAGAGATCAAGAAGGATATTATGTGCTGAATGCTGAGTTCACCCAGAAGACATATCAATCCTAAAAGTATATGCATCCAACTAGTGAGTCTCAAAATACATGAAGTAAAATCTAACAGAACTGAAAGGAGAAATATATTTATCCACAAATATAGTTGGAGATTTTTTTAATACTCTCCTCTAAGCAGACAAAAACCAGCAAGGAGAGCAAAGAACTGAAAATCAACAGCTACCAACTGGATTTAATGAATATTTAAAAACCACTATACCCAACAATAGTGAAACATGAGTTCTTCTAAAATACACATAGAAAAGTCACCAAAATAGTCACACCTCGAGTCATAAAACAAAGCCTATCAAATTTAAATTGAAATAATAAAAAAGTATGCTCTGACCACAGCACACTCAAATTGGAAATCATAATAGAAAGGTAAGTAAAATCTCAAATGTATGGGAAGCAAGCAACACTCTTCTCAATAAACTGAGGGTGAAATAGGATGCCTCAAAGGAAATGAGAAAATTATTTAAACTGAATGAAAATACAGTGTATCAATATTTGTGGCACCCAACTAACGCGCTAGAGAAAAATTTATAGCATCACATCTAAATCTTAGAAGAAAACTCTCACATTAACATCTGCTGCCGTCTTAATAAAGTAAAAAATAAGGGCAAAATAAAGCAAGCAGTGGGAGCAAATAATGACAAAAGCAGAAAACAATAAAAGCACAACCCATTGGAGATTAATGGAACCAAAAGCTAGTTCTGTGAAGAACGATGAAACTGATACATTTCTAACAACTGACAAAAAAGAAGACACAGTTACCATATCAGAATGAAGGAGAATATCATGACTGCTTCACACACATTAAAAGGATAAACAGGGAACACTACAAAGCGTTCTATGCTTATAAATTTGTCAACTTAAATGAAATGAACCATTCATCACAATTTGCAAACTACCAAAACTCATCTGGAAATAAGTAGGCAACCTGAATGGTAATATATGTACTGAAGAAATTAGATTAACAGTGAAAAACCTTCTGAGAGAGAAATTTCCAGGTCCAGATTGTCTCAAAAATGAATTTTATCTAAACATTGAAGGAAGAAATAATGGCAATTATCCCAACCCATTTCACCCTGATATGAAAACCAGGCAAAGATAATGCCAAAGAACAAAACAAAACAAAACAAAGACAAATATTTTCATAAATATCAACATAAAATTCTCATCTAAAAAATAGCAAATTAAATCCAGCAGTACATAAAAAGAGTAACACACATGCCAATTGCTACTTATCTTATGAATACAAGACTGGCTTAATATTTGAAAACTATACAATATAATCTATCCATTTACAACAGACAATAGTATGGCAGTATGTAAAAACGTGGATGTGTAACCGATGTGATTCTGCAATCTGTATACAGGGGAAAAATGGGAGTTCACAATCCACTTGAATCAAATGTATGAAATATGATATGTCAAGAGCTATGTAATGTTTTGAACAACTAATAAAAATAAATAAATAAAATAAAGAGCTCTGGGGAAAAAAAAGATTCTAAGGAAGAAAAGCCAAAAAATTATTTGACAAAATTCCATATCTACTCATGATAAAAATCTCTCAGTCAAATGGAAATAGAAAGAAACTTGGACTTCATCCAAGTGAAAAAAATAAATAACTTCTGTGTTGTAAAAGACACCGTTAAGAGAATGACAAGAGAACACAGAGTAAAAGAAAATATTGATAAATTCCATATCCAGCAAGGGACTTATATTCAGAATATATACATAGAATTCACAAACACAGCAACAATCAAATTTAAAAAAGGCAAAAGATTTGACCAGATACTACAAGGACTTCCTTGGGTGTTGCTTTCCTTACTGCCATATGTGATTCATGCAGGTTGACTTTACCAGCAGGCTCTTTGGGGTGTCCTGCTGGGAAGTCACATTTGACAATACACTCCCACCAGAGCTGTATTAATGGCTTAACAAATATTGTCATACTTGTTACATTTTAATTCCTCAACCAATTTTATCTGATGTAGTTTCAAATTGAGTTAACTCTAGATCATTAAATTGTTATAATTATAAAAATTATCCGTTAATACAATGTTTTCCTACATTCGGTATTGAGTAGAAATTCATCTGAGTAAATGTGCTATTTAAAAAAAAAAAAAAAAGAAAAGAAACCTCTTAAGAACACGTATGAAGACATGAGTTGATATGAACATACTTTATATACAAATAGAGATATGAAAAAATGTGCTCTATATGTGTAGTAAGAATTGTAACGCATTCCGCTGCCACGTATTTAAAAAATAAAATCAATCAATAAAAAAAAACAAACTCTTGTGTATACTGATTAGTACAGGAAGAGAAAGGCAGAATAATGTAGTGTGATAGAAAAAGATAGGGAAATACTAAATTTTCATTTAAATTATTAAAATGAAAAGAAAGGAAAGGAAAATGGTAGCAGGCTCAATAGCAGCCTTATTTTCTGAGATGGAGTTCATGAAAATACAGGCTTTAACCCAAACCTTCTCCTAGCCCAACTCTTTTGCTCTATTATGAAGAAAGAGATAAGAACTAAAGGTTTTAAATTTTAAAATAGTAATATAGAACTCTAGCAAAAATGAATATCATAAAACTCCTGTTGTCTGTAAATGTGATAAAAAGGAATAGCTGGAATTTTACAGAAGATTCTTGTTTCATTTTTTCCCTCAGAAAGAATGTTCAAAACGCCAGAAACACATACTTCTTCAGCATAAACCTTCTCTTTTCCAGCACGTGGGTATACATTCGTCACTTCCTGGAAAAGAACAATATTACAAAGTAAGATTTTGAAATGGAACTTACTAATTTATACTGTTTCATGTAATTATAAAATAACATTTAGAAAAGGAGTGATAATGTGGGAGACTATAAAATACTGTTGTCTAGGCAGAATTCATGTAGTACAAAACCATGTGTTGTGAAGAGAACCTAGAAATTTAACAATTAACTCTTATTAAAGACCCAAGTTATTTTATCAGGATAAGGAAACTTACAGCCTACATAAACATGTTTATCTTCCTACTTTCCACTGTAAAATTCAAGTAATAAGATTAAAAAAGCATTTTGAAAATCATGATAAAATTCACTATCTAAAATTCAAAATTATAAAAAAAAATTCGAAAATTGGGGAACTTTATTGTTTAGTTTAAATTTATAATTATTTTTATTTAGATGGCTCTATCAGATAAAGAAAATTTCAACTTTGTTTCATATTAATCATCCTTAAGTTTCACATTATTTTTGGAAGTAATATTATTGATAATATTACTTAGCATTTGTGTTAGTTAGCTTTCAGCACTGTGACAAAATACCTGACATAATCAACTTAATAAGGAATATGGTTTATTTTGGCTCATAGTTTCAAAGATTTCCTTCCATATTTTTCTTGTCTTACTGCTTTGGGACTGTTGTGGGACAGTACATCATGGTGGGAGCACATGGCAGAAGAGCTGCTCACTTAATTTTGGAAAAGCAAAGAAAGAAAAGAGGCTAGGTTCTAATATCCCCTTCAAGACACATCCTCAGTGACCTAACTTTCTCCCAATAGGTCCCACCTCTTAAAGTTTCCATCACCTCCCAACAGCACCATAGGGTGGTGGTGACAAAGCCTTCAACACATGGGACTTTGGGGGCTACTTATCCAATCTACGGGAGCATCTTAGCAGATTACAAGAAACAAAGGGTTCATTTTCAAAACACCAAGGTTAGTCTCAGTGACCTAGGACTGTATGTATACATATATATCTGTGTGTGTTTGACATTAGACAAACACTTCTCTGAGATTTCTTCAACAATAAAACAAAAAGTATAAATTAAATGACCTCTAAGGCTGCTTCCATCTTTGAGATGCTACTGGCGTGGCTCTCCTTAGTGTCTTCACACAACAAAGGACATGGTTTTATTCCTCTGTCAACTGAGATGAGAGTTGCACGTCCACATCCTCCCGTCAACCATGACCTGCCCTCTTTCTGCCTTTCCTGCTCCATGTTTGGTACCGCAGTCCTAGAGGAGGACTGGGAACACAGTGTGAGCTCAGTCAAGTCAGCTGCCAACCCTCAGGCCAGGGAGAATCCAGGAACAAACGTGTGCAGCAGACAAGACAACGCAAGTGCCTGGAATAATACAATTTTAAAGGTTGTGAATTTTTATGCAAAAAAACACCACCATCAAAAACATAAAATATGGCAGCAGAAGGTGTAGGCACAAGCTGGTCTATGTCTTCTTATTTTGGGTCACCTTATTTTTTATAATGGGAATCTTTTCTAACATCTTCTATTTTTACCACATAAGATCTTAACATTTATAAATTCATGGCAGATTAAGAATGTACACATTAGCATTCATATTTTGATGTTGTAATCTTGGCTATTTTTGCTTTGTATACTTCATACCGCATAAAATAGAATTTATAACAAATAATATGCCATGTATTAAATTATTTTAAAAATTTCTGACAGGATATCTATTATTAGGATTTTCATAATTTTAACAGCTCCTTTAAAAAGCATCAGACTCATTCTTTGGAAAAAGTAGCATAAGAATAAAACTGTTTCTCAACCTTCTTAAGAGTGGATAAGAGACATCATATTTTTAAAATGTTAAGCCTTTAATAATAAAGTGGTAAGTATAAAACTTGACATAAATATGTGGCAGTTATTAGATATTTGTTAATCTTGTATCATTTTAAAAATTGTGTTCCATATATGTTCAATTTTTGTTTCTATGTTTTCTTTAATATTCATTCCTATAAGTTTTTCTTAAAAAAAAAAACTCTCTGTAGAATGCATTCCTTAACCAGTTAAATTATGTATTACACTTACTGTAAAACTTTTAACATTTAAGATAAGTTTTTTAGACTACAATTTTATTAAGTAGAAAAAGTATTATTTAACTTGTAGTTCAAAAAATAACCTAATGAAACAAGAAATACAATGTCGTCTTAGTGATGAGCTTTCTTAATTTGAATTTTTTTGAAACTTGCCTAGATCTTTCATTTAAATGTTGCTTAGCATGTCATATTCTGAATCTATAATAAACATAACAATTTTCCTTTTAGAAATTACTAAAATATTTTGGTGTGGGTAAAATGGTAATTTCTGAAAATCCACATAAAATATTCGCACTGGAAAATTTTTAAAAAATTGGTAAGCAGGGCTGTGATTGTAGCTCAGTGATAGAGCACTTGCCTCAATGTGTGAGGCATTGGGTTCAGTTCTCAGCCCCACATATAAATATATGAATAAAATAAAGGTCCATCAACAACTAAAAAATATTTTTAAAAATTGATAAGCAGACAAATAGCATGTTTTGTAGAACTAGCTAATGTTCTTTCCTATGCAAAAAGTCATTTTCCTTTTACTGCACTGTACCAGCTGCAGGGCCAAGCATTTAAATGCACTGGAGATAGGGCTGCCAGATAGAACACACAAATCCAGTTATCTTTCAGTTCACCTTACTTTTGTCACCTATGTCCCATTTGTTTTGTTGTTGCTGTTGAGAACCATGATGAGCCTAGCTGAAGGTGGAGGAAGAAGGAGTAGAAGGAAGGATACTTCGCTTTAAAATGCTGTAACTCGCTGAATTCACTTACTAGTTGTAGAAGTTTTCTGGTAGAATTTTTTGGGTCTTCTAGGTATAGAATCATATTGTCAGCAAATAGTGCTAATTTGAGTTTTTCTTTACCTATCCGTATCCCTTTAATTTCTTTCATCTCTCTAATTGCTAGGGCCACTGTTAAAATGACTATGTTACACAGAAGTGGTGAAAGAGGGCATCCCTGTCTTGTTCCAGTTTTTAGAGGGAATGCTTTCAATTTTTCTTCATTTAGAATGATGTTGACCTAGGGCTTAGCATAGATAGCTTTTACGATGTTGAGATATGTTCCTGTTATCCATAGTTTTTCTAGTGTTTTGAACATGAAGGGGTGCTGTATTTTGTCAAATGCTTTTTCTGCATCTGTTGAGATGATCATGTGGTTCTTATCTTTAAGTCTATTGATGTGATGAATTATGTTTCTTGATTTCCATGTGTGGAGCCAACCTTGTATCCCTGGGATGAAGCCCACTTGATCATGGTGCACAATCTTTTTGATATGTTTTTGTAATCAATTTGCCAGAATTTTATTGAGAATTTTTGCATCTATGTTTATTAGAGATATTGATCTGAAGTTTCCTTTCTTTGATGTGCTTTGCCTGGTTTTGGAATCAGGGTGGATATTGGCCTCATAGAATGAGTTTGGAAGTGTTCCCTCTTTTTCTATTTCCTGTAATACATTGAAGAGTATTGGTATTAGTTCCTCTTTAAAGGTTTTGTAGAACTCAGTTGGGTATCCATCTGGTCCTGGACTTTTCTTTCCTTAGTCTATACCCAAAGGACTTAAAAACAGCATACTACAGGGACACAGCCACATCAATGTTTACAGCAGCACAATTCACAATAGCTAAACTGTGGAACCAAACTAGATGCCCTTCAGTAGATGAAGAGATAAAGAACTGTGGTATATATATATATATATATATATATATATATATATATATATATACACACAATGGAATATTACTCATCATTAAAAGAGAATAAAATCATGGCATTTGCAGGTAAATGGATGGAGTTGGAGAATAATATAATGCTAAGTAAAGTTAGCCAATCCCAAAAAACCAAATGCCGAATGTTTTCTCTGATTTAAAGATGCTGATTCATAAGGTGGGGGGGTATGGGAGGATTAGATCAATTCTAGATACAGAAAAGGGGAGGGAGGAAAGGGAAGGAGTATGGGGGTAGAAATGACGGTGGAATGAGATGGACATCATTACCCTAAGTACATGTATGAAGACAAGAATGGTGTGAATATACTTTGTGTACAACCAGAGATATGAAAAATTGTGCTCTATATGTGTAATATGAATTGTAATGCATTCTGCTGTCATATATAACAAATTAAAATGAAAAAAATAAAAAAGCTTTAATTTGGCTGATTCAGGCTATGGGACTACCCTAGACTTTTATTAAAGAATGATATGCAACATTTCTGCATTTTATTTAAAGTTTTATGTTTTCATTTTATATAAAGATCCATGTGACACATTTTTTTTCTCAGAATTTGGAACTAGAAAATGATGTTCTTTCCTAAAGAACAATGTTGATTTCTTTGAGTCATTGTGGGCATTTTACCCCTTTCAAGTTATAAGAAATCCCAAACTGTTGTCATATGAAATGTAATAACTATATTATTTTATATTGACAGCAAAATATCATCAGTTCATTAAGTTTTACATCCAATCTCTTTCATTTATTTATTATAATTAAAAATTTCATTTATTATAATTAAAAATTATTATAATTTATTATAATTAAAAATTATTGTATGTGTTTTCACAGTAAGTTACACTAACGCCTTTGTACATTATCTACAATAGTTCTTTGGCTGTAATGATAATCTGAACATACAGATTTCCCAGGAATCCTGCTGATGGAAATCCACTTTCATTATTTTTTTTATTATAGTAATAATCATCTTTATTTCTTTTCTGGTCTTGGGTAAGTGAGGAATGATCTCATGGTAGCCAGTGATGAGTTCAAAAGGGTATGGAGCTTTTAAAAATAGTCTGAAACACACAGTTACAGATGTAAATGGCATCCCAATTAAATACCTAACAAATACAATATTACAACCACTGATCATGTGCATAATAATGCATTTCATCAAATCTTGAAAATACATTCAAGCCATGTGGTTTCTGCTTATTTTTGTGCGTTCACATCTTCATTTCCAGAGGTGTATTCATATCAGTTTGCACAATTTGGTGCTAAAAATGAATGACCCCAATGTAACACATATGCTTGTGCTGCCATTCACATTTTCAAATAAAACCATGCCTGTATCTCATTAATCCTCTATTTTATAATACAAGTGTAATTCAATTGTTTTCCAATGTACCAACATATATTCACACATTTGTAGCCATACATGTGTATCAAAACAGGTAGCATTTTATGAAAATTGGGCAACTTTCTCCAGTAATTATAAATTTTGAGTGTGTTCCTTACCTCTGATTTTACCAATGACCTTGCTTTGTTTCTGTGGCAATGCCTTTTATAATGACAGCTTCAAGTACTTTGAAAACATTAATTGGTTCATACCAAAGAATTGTAGGAGAGAAATGACTGCTGTAGATTCTAGATATCCTATCCTCCTGCTTCTGATTGCCAATTGATAAACTTAAGTGGCTCTCATTTAGTTACACACATTATCAAGTACCATTCACCCAGGCTACTTGTATTCCTCATCTAATTGCTGCAGCAGAAAGATTTATAAGTCTTCACAGTAGTCCCAAACTGTGGAGAGACAGATTATGGACAAAATTTCACATCAGTTTTAGGTAGGTTACAGGTACTAAAGATCTTTGATTCCATTTGATAAACTTGTTTCCAAGTGATTTTATCCACTTAAATTATATTAAAACTCATGATTCTGGAACTTGTAACCAACTGAGACAAATCCATAGATCCAAAAGCCCAAGTCTCTGTAGCACAATAAGTAAACAAATAGGATAAATATGTCATGCCCAAGGAAAGGAGAACTGGCATGGATTTCCTAGTAGGTTTGACTCTGAATTTAGTTATGTTGTTCATTCTTCAAAGTAATGAGCAGTCAAACAATGCACCCTAATTTCGACATAAAACTCAGTAATCCAACATCATTGATTTGGACTTTTTTAAATATTCATTTAAAATTTTAGCCATGAGATACTTTCTCATGTTCTAGGAGACAGAAGTTAACTAACCATTATGAGGAAAATATGACAACTTATGTGAGCACTGTTAAACAATGGTGTAGAAAAAATTTCAAAAATAATTATGCATTAATTGCAATCAAGATTTACTTGCATTAGAACTGGTCTGGAATACCTCTGTAATCAGCTGTCTTGTTCCAGACCCATAGCTTTGATGTTCCTTGGGCTACCAGCTTCTTCTCCAGCCCCTTCCACTACTGGAGGCCTTGACGTATTGCCCTATTTCTAGCTCTTTGCCTCCAGGCCAGCTTCTTGAAAGCTAGGTCCATCCTCACCATCTCAACTCCCCCTTCACCCCTTAGGTCACTGCAGCATGGTCTCATTTGCCAATCCCCCCCCCAGTTAAGCCATGAATATTGTTACTGACAAAACCAACATTAGTATCTAAGATTTCATATTATTAGCTCTTTCCTCAATACCTCACACAAGAGACTTATAGAGTCTTATAGATCCCAAATGAAACTCTTTAACTTTTTGAACTTTCATTGTTTGGATTAAATCCTTCCATAAATTCTCACTGCCTTTACAGAAAAGTTCAAAGTCACCAGCCTGATTTAGAGACAGCCTTCATATTCAAGCTTTTTATTATTTCTTCAGTTTCATTTTTTTTTTTTGCATTCTCCTCCTCAGAAGTTCCCATCCCCTCTCAACCCTTAATTTAACTACTAAACGAGACCAAACTAAGTCAATTTTGACTCCTTGAATTTACTATGTCTTTTCTTGAACATTTTCCCTTTCTAAAACACTCTTTCCTTAACCCTTCTTAATTCTCAGGTTTCAGCTCAGCCACATTTCTTGCAGGAAATCTTTTCTTATATCCAAGTCGCCATTCATGGTCCTGTTTTCTTTTTTAACTTTTTAGTTGATTTTTTTAAAAAATAAATCATAGCAAGAATGCATTATAATTCTTAATACACATATAGAGCACAATTTTTCATATCTCTGGTTGTATATAAATTATGTTCACACCAATTTGTGTCTTCATACATGTACGTAGGATAATGATGTCCATCACGGTCCACCATCATTGCTAAACCCCTGGCCCCTCCTTTCCCCTCCAACCCCTCTGCCCTATCTAGAGTTTTTCTATTCCTGCCATGCTTCCCCTCCCTACCCCACTATGTATCAGTCTCCTTATATCAGAGAAAACATTAGGCATTAGTTTTTTTGGGGGGGATTGGCTCACTTTCGCTAATTTTAACACCATGACAGTACTGAAATAGGCATTATCTAATAATGCATCTTAAGAATTATTTCATTTGTCAATGCAAAGTTATCTTCTCCCTTTAAAGGGTGATGTAATGATATCAATGAAGATACAATAAATAAACTATCAATTGTTAGAGAAATAATTATATATTTATGAGTTATGTTTTTTCTCAAAGTTAAAGTTTTCTCAAAGTTAAAGTTTTCTCACTTTTATTTCAGAAAATTCTAAGATAATAAGAATATCAAGAAGAAACTGCAATACTTGGAACTTCAAATAAACTTGATTTCTAATATCATCTTTCAGAAATTGAAATAGTGAGAATACTTAATCATCCAGAAGAGAAAAAGCAATGAAGAAATTGACAACCTTGAAAGTTTTAAATGACCTCTTATGCCAAGGGGGAACAAATAGAACAGGAAGTGTGGGTGCAACTCAGTGGTAGAGTGCTTGCTTAGAATGTACAGGTTCCATCCCCCAGTACTGCCAAAATAATGATAATAATAACAGTAATAATCGATCTTTTTATGTATGATGTGTGTAACTACTACAATTTACTATCTAAAAATCAGTAAAGGCAGGGACATTTTAAAAAATTAAGAACTGTATTCTATCAACATAGAAAACAAGGCTATCCCATAATCTCAATAAATAGCTAAAGCTCAGAAATGTATTACTGTCACAGACAAGTTCTGTCCAATTGGCATATGGTCTTCTCCATCTTGCTGCAATACCTAAAGAAATAGAAAGCACAAATTTGAGCAAGGCTGGCAGTGCCAAACATCTTCTTGTGTTTTAATAAATAACATTGCAAACTCTAAACTTATTCCTAGGTGCCATTTAAGCTGATTATTAAACACCTTGTTATGTAAATATTCTTGATAACCATTTCATTTGAAGGATTTGTTTAACCTGTGGATTATTTGGGAGTATGTTTGCTTTTTCATACAAGCTAATATATTTTTGTTTTGCTGATGTTAGCTTTATTTCCATTTATTTTTATTGTTGATTTCTAATTTGATTGCATTGTTAAGAGAATGTTATCTGTGTGATAAAAGTTTAGAACTGTTGTGAATCCTTATGTTCAGTATGATTTTGGAAAAATTGTATAGTTTCTGTATACTTCTTTAAAAATATGTGGATCTCATTTGTTTTTACAAATGTTGATTTTATGCTTTAAACATGTCTTTTTAAAGTATTCCTAATTATCGGGTCTGGGCTTTTCATTTGGTTGCTTAAATCTTTTAAAACATTATTTGTTCTGCCTCACCCATCAGTTTCTTACAGGGATCTATTAAAATGTATTGTTTTTTTTTCCTTGCTGTTTTTCTTTTGGATTTGACTTTATTTATTTTGAGCAATATAAGAGATATTTCTTGCTTTTTATCCTTTAATCAAATGCATCTTAATTTTTTATTGCCATCTTACCTGTACCAATTCTTCACACATTTACCTCAGTATAACTTTATCACATGCCAATTTGCAAAGAAAATATGAAAGACGTGCTGTTCACATGTGTCCATTTAGTTGTTCTTTTAGAAGAGGATATATGTATGTTACAAAGATTTTAAATTTAACTTCAATTTTGAAATTTTAAAATTAAGTCTGCTAGAGCATATTCCAGGTTCATATGTAGAATTAAAATTAAATCTAGGTACAGTTTTATTCAAGAGGCAACGTTCTTTGGGGGGACATTCTGGATCCAAATTACAGCAGAACATTTATGTGAATTTCTAGTAATGTAGCAATGTTACTAATATTAGCAGTAATAGTAGATATGTTTCCACTCTTGAATGGAAGGGAAAGAGATACCCTCTATTAAAATAGATGTGTAATAATGTCTTGGGGCTTTTGTGTTTCTTTGCATGGACTTCCACTCTAGGGTAGAACTGTGACAGTTTTGAACAAATAGTGGGAGGTAAATCTGGGCTGGTATTACCGATTGAAACACTGTATTTTCCTTTCTTTCTAAGATCTTTGGCATCCATTTTTAGATGCTGTGTTGACTTGGAAGCCATTATTAGGCAATGAATTATGAAGAAGTTCATACAAGCTAATATATTTTTGTTTTGCTGATGTTAGCTTTATTTCTCTACCTGCAGATAAAATGAATAATATATTAGGGAACACAGTTTACCAAAACTGATGTCAATAAAAACAGAAAGCTTAACGACATTTTTTCATGAAAGAAATAGAGAATGTGGTCAAGAAATCACCTAACAGCACAAAGAGGCACCAGTCCCAGGTACTTATACAGGGGAATTGAACTAACCTTTTGGAAACCAAGTAGCTCCAGTACTTTTAAACTGTTTCAGAATACAGCAAAATATGAATTTTTCCAAATTATTTTAATGGTGTAAATATAACATTAGAATCTAATCCCTATAATGAGAGCACAGAAAACTGCAGAGCAATATCTTTTATGATAATAGTGCAGAATTCCTAAACGCAGAATTAGAAGTAGCTTCCAAGCCACTTTAAGAAAACAACATATCATGCTTGGTATTTATACCAAGAGTGCAAGAAGTTGTTAGGATTCTTTTAGGGAGGCTATCATGATAGTATACAATCCCAAGAGGTCTAAGGAGAAAACAAAAATCATATGATTACCTCCACAGAGGCTGAAAACAAAACCTATCAAAAATTCAACACCTATTTCCTATAAAAACTTTGGAGAAAATTTGATGAATGAGTACTTCCTTGATAAGTGAGAATAAACTCTCATACCCTGTTTGTGGGAATGCAACTTCTACAGAGGGTATTGGTAATTGTTAAGAAAACTATGTAGCATTTAAAACCACAGATATTGCTGGCTGCTAGAAAGGCTAAAATTAAAGTGACCTACTAAACAATCTTGCCATGTACAGCAACTGAAACTCTCATGCATTGCTAATGGGAGCATAAAATAGCATAACCAGTTTGGAAAATAGCTCTCAGCATGTTCTTAAACAGTCAAACAAATGCACTCCCACATATTTCACCCTTTCCACTCCTAGTTACTCAAGAGAAATTAAAACGTATGTGCCTCCAAAGACTTGTACTGAATGTTTACAGCATATTTATTTGTAATTGACAAGACCTGTCCATTAAGATGTGCATGTAATAAACAGAGAGGTAACAGTGATTAAAAGGAACTAACAATACAAACACAAGGATGGAACTCAAAGTAATTAATGCAGCTTAAAAGACAACCCCCCCCCTCAAAAAGAGTACATGTTGTATGGTTCCATTTATATTAAATTCTTAAAATATGCAATCTAATCAAAACAAAAAAATCTGTGATTGCTTAGGGATAGGGACAGGGAAACAACTGGAGCTGACTAATTCAGTATTTGTTGTGATATGTCAAAAGTTATCAAATTGTGTGCCAAACATGCACAAAGAATACCAGAGCTAGCTTGAAAAGACTTCCATTTATCAATTCTGGGACCATTTGAGCACCAAAATAACTCAACACAGAAATGGACTGTAATTCATTGAAGAAGAAGAAGAAGAGGAGGAGGAGGAGGAGGAGGAGGAATTGTATACCTAGGATACATTAGATGAATGGGTAAATAAAAACTCTAATGGAACGTTGCCTATTATAGAAGGAAAATGAGAGTTAGAAAATCACTGATCTAGGCAAGTATTGTTGATAGTTCCTAAACTCAGGGTAGAGAGAGTGGAATAGTAAATTTAATGAAGAACCAGATATTTACACATCTTCAAAGTTTGTTCACACAGATTACTTATCAGTTACAAATGGAGAGTTGGAGCTGTACAGAAGGGAAAGTATTCAAAATTAGCACCACCAAGAAAAGGCTCAATGGGCGTCATGCGTCTCAGGTAAATTCTTAATAATGTTGTCGAAAGAAACGCAGTGTTTCATATATAATTTATTACATTAGCATCTAATATATATCATACACGCCGATGAAATAGCAGGCCTTCCTGCTGATAACAATCACAGCTCACATCTTAAAATACAGAACTCTAGAAGAAACCTAGAATGCTAATCTAAACCTGCTGTATCTGTTAAGGGAGCACCATCCAAAAACGTGATGTACCTAAAATTCAGGATCCAATTATGGTGCAATTTACATAAAATTCAGGGCCCAATTATGGAACCTACTGTTTGCCCAGAGATGCAGGCGCCCAGGATCCGCTGTCTCGGAGCGGCGCGGCGCGAGCCGGGGAGGACGCGCTTTACTGCGGGCTCAGGGCCCGCGGCAGTTGAGCGCCCAGGGGCAGGTGAGCGTTCCACGCGCTTGGGACAGCGGCCGCCTCGCCGCCGGACGCCGCTCGCGCATGCGCGGTTAGCAGCCGCTGCTGGGCGACTGCCGGCGGGATTTGTCTGGGGAGACGCGGAGACCGAGTAGCAGCGAGTCTGGACACCTGAGCTGCCACTGCTGAAAACTGGCCCGCAAGACAAGTGTGTGGGCATCGGGCCTCCTTCCTGCCGCCGTGCGCTCTGGCTGGGGTGAGGATCCCAGTCTTTGCTGCGCCCCAGGGTGAGGGTTCCTGGGCCACACCCTTTTCTTTTGCGACTGGAAAGGCTGAACAGGTTAGGGCCAGGTGAGGAGGTGGATGTTGAGGTGGAGCATGGGGGTGCAGCTAGCGCTGCTGTTGGGTAGGTTCTGGCGGCCTCGTGGGCACATAGGCCAGCTCTGGGCAGAGGGAGTGGATGCCACCTCCCGGTGGTTGGGTCCTCTGGAACTGCTGTGTGCACCTGCTGCGCTGGGGCAGGCGCGGGCAAGGCCAGGTGCCCCGCGCAGCCAGGCCTACCCCTGCGGGCTTAAGTCCGTTATCCCAGCGGTCATCCTTCCTGCCCCGTTCCACTCTCGAGCACCGAAACGCGCCCCCACGGAGAGTAGAGAGGGCCCGGGGGGCGCTGCTCGCCGCACTGGCTGCTCCTCCTAAAAGCTCCAACAAGAACAAACTTGGCTTAGCTTAATCCATCCCACCTCCGTAAAGGCGAAGGGACCCAACCCTCGTGGTGGAGGTGGCCAGTGACTCCTTAGATACGCTTCGTGGATCCCAAAGTGCGTCACTGGGGACCGCGCGAAGGGGTTGTGTTGAATCCAATGAAGCCCTAATTACTGGAGACTCATTATCTCCTAAAGCCTGTTTACTATCAATCAGACACTTTAGCTGAATTTATTAATAGCATCTTCCCAGGCAACAAGGGAGAGGCGTTTGCTTGGGATTTTAAAGCAAAAGACAATAAAGTTCAGGAGCAGAGAGAGAAGGTAAATAACGCCTCCTTGGGAAGAAGTCGCAAATTAGAGCGAATTTATACTGAAACTTTCTGATGCATAAAAATCAGCAAAACTTCACTTAGTATTATGTTTTTGCCTGTTTTTAAGATTTTATATCACTCTGGTAGCCCTCCTTTTGGTAATTTTAAATTTGACTTATTTTCCATGTGCAGTTTTGCCTTAGTATTTTCTTGGTCTGATTTTACAAGTCACGTTTAGACTTTGACCCCAGGTTCTTTGAAAAATATACTCTAAATTCTTCGTCTCACTTATCTTGTTCATAAGGTTAATTATTGTGTGTAAAGGATGTAGGTGTGTTGGTGGGTCTGTAGATATTGACTAGTGCTGTAAATGAACTTAATAATGTGTTAGTGCACTGACTAATAACGTTAGTATTCTTAATTTGAACACTGCAACTGTCAACTCTAATGGAACTTTAGATCATCTAGTTCAACCCTTTCCCTACACAAATGAGAAAACAGGCCCAGAGCAGTTGAATCACTTGCCCTTTTAATAATAGAGCTTGAAACTTGGTGCTATGGTGTCAAGCTCAAAAAGTGCTTTATGTCATTGAGTTGAGTTCTTGAAGTGACATGACAATGAAAACTTTAAATTATAGGCAATTTTCAGACACCACTCCTGGTGTATGCCAGCAGTGGCCAGTACCTCAGTCAGCTATATGACTGAGTAACAGCAGAAGGACTTCTCATTTAGAAGAAAACATATATATAGGTGGGGCATGGCAGTGCCTGCTTGGAATCCCAGTGGCTTGGAGGTTGAGGTTGGAGGATCATAAGTTTGAGGCCAGCCTGAGCGACTTGCACCTAGTCTCAAAGAATATTTTTAAAATGGACTGGGGATGTAGTTCAGTAGTAAAGTACCCATGGGTTCAATCCCCAGCATCAAAAAAATTAAAAAAAAAACATATAGAAGGAAGTGTATGTTAAATAGATGAGTGCTGAGAATGAAAGAAATGAGTCTTAGAGTGGATTTTATGCTGAAAACTCTCAAGAACTATTGGCTATTTTTATAAACAGGTTATAAATGAAGACTTGTGTTAAAAAAATCATACAAGAAATGAAATGAAGGCATAAAGTGGCAACTTACTAATACTGTTCAGAAAAGATAGGTTTTAAAATTAAGGCTGTGGTATAAAAATAGAGATATTCTAGGGGAACTCAGATGGCTTTATTTACCAATGATGTAGGAAATCAGCAAGAGAAGACTCTTAGGAAAATGGTACAAGCGACAGATTTGGTTGACTAGAGGTGCTGTTAATAGGAGAAGGGAATAAAAAATGGAGAAGCAGGTTTTGGAGGAAAGAACAAGTTCAAACTATTGGAGATTTGGGGACATCTTTGTGGAGATTCATTGGAATTAAAGTAACCTCTGAACTGTGGATAAGGTTTAGGAATCTTTAGCTAGCTTTAGGTTGAAACCAAGAATATATATGAAAGCTTGAGAACACAGACCCCTAAAGAATACCAACATTTCAGAAGATTAGAGAAGGT